GTGTAGGCCTACACCGGGGTATGGCTAAGGCACTATGAGCCAGTGAGAGAAAGAACGTTGTCAAGTGATTCAGATAAGATGGGTAAAGTTTCCATTTCGAATGCATCAAGAAGGCGTTTATCTGGATCTGCACTTTAGTCTCAAACTCTACTACATACGAATAAAGACAGAACTCAGAAGACACCTCTTGGGTAAACAAGATGATCTTTTCAACATTCTTTGTTGTTCTCTTTCTCTTATACAAACTCAATAATCCAAATCCATAGTCGTCTGCATTAATTGTCTGTTATTCTATATTTGGTATGATTTAAAACATAATTCATACTTCAATGTAATAAAAATGTTGTTACAGGGAAAGAAAGGCATACGTTTTCATGAAATGTGAATTTATCAGGAAAATTAGTATAAAACATTGCCTTGTGAAAATTTAAATGTGCTAAATAGTACATTGCTTGTGAACAGGTAAACCTCTCTATAGTGGATATGGAATGCAGATTATATAACATCCAAGTGATACCAACAAACTAACCTCTCATTCAAGTATCATATGTCATTTTTTTCTCCTCAAGCACTTGTAATTCAATCCTTGAAATTTCGAAATAATCTTAGCTTTTTAAATCAAAATTATTTACTCTACTCTATTTCATACAAAAAGAAGTCCTGATTATAATTTGCGTTGTCTACAATATAATGGATGTGATTGGTTGGGCTGTAGCAAACTGTTTTAGTTTCTATCTATAATCAAATAGATTACTAATTATATTTTAAGTAGTTTTTTAAAAAAAAAACTAAAAAAAACTGCATGAACCTTATTTTATAATGCATAAAAATATTGATCTAGGATTTACTATAGGAATTTCTTTTTATTATTTTTCTCATTTTAATTTTTATATATCTACATCAAATATTTCTACAGATTAATAGTAAAATTTCTATGGCTACATTCCTAATAGTATGAGAAGAAGTGAGAACAAAACATAAAAAGAAAATGGCAGTTACATTTCTCAAAAAGGAAATGGCAGATACACTACCATTTTACACTGCCATTTACTCTGTAATTGACCCAAAAAAAACTGCCATTCACAGACTTTAACTAATTAATACCACATACGTTAGAATAATGGTCAAACTCACGCCAACCACGCTTCAAAACGTCAAAGTAGTAAATAACAAGTGTCAATGGAGAGTATAAAATGCTATAGTAATAATAAAGCAAAACGCCTCCTATCTTTGAACTCTGCTTTAAGTTACTTTCGAGGTGAAAATGGAGAAGGTGAATGCTCGTTTAGCTGTTCTCTCTGCACACTTGGAATTGTCTGATGGTCCCATGCCCGCGGCAATCGAGACATGGTGCACATCAAATGCTTCTGCTACACCGCATGGATCATCCCTTAAGGGAAACTTGACGATCGTTGATGAACGTACGGGGAAGAAATATCACGTCTCAGTCTCTGAGGATGGTACTGTTAAGTCCATTGATCTCAAGAAGGTAAATATGTTAAAAGTTAAAAGGTTGACAAATGCATGCAGTTGATATAAGTATGAGTATATAATATATTGGATGTTTGGTGGTGTAGATAACGAGGGGGAAACATGACATGGGGATTAAGTTATACGATCCTGGTTATTTTAACACGGCTCCTGTTCGGTCTTCGATTTCTTACATCGATGGAGATGAAGGAAGACTACGTTATAGGGGATACCCAATTGAAGAGTTGGCTGAGAGTAGTTCTTTTCTTGAGGTTTCTTATCTCCTCAGTAAGTCTCTTGTACCATGTAGCTTTTTCTTATTTTCTTTTGATACAAGCAAACGTTTTGATCATATATTATGAGTATTTCTTGATGATTCTTTTTTGTTTTGTTTTTTTTTTTGTTTATTGCAGTTTATGGCAATCTACCTTCTCAGACTCAGTTAGCTGATTGGGAACTTGCGGTTTCTCAGCATTCAGCTGTTCCACAAGAATTGTTGGTGATTTTATAATCTTTCCTCATATGGATTTTGTTAAATTTGGACTTATGGTTCCAACTCAAAACCAGTTGATTAGTTATTTAATATTTCTCCAATTACCAATGTATACTTCATTCGTTAACAGATTTTCATACTAGCTAACTAGTGTAGAACTCCAAACTTTTCTAACAAAATATCCAAAAACCATCTCTTTCCAAGTATAATTTGCACTGCTTGTAAACCATACCACTTCCTTATGTTTGTCTTACCATTAGTTATGTGTATATGTCTACTGACTATTTACCATGTAACACTTAGTATTGAGAAGCCACATCTAATCATATACTTATTTTTGTAAATCTTGAGGCATTTCTATTATCAAATCACAATGGTTGTTATAGCCCCCTATTACTAAATTCTTGGTAATGATTTTAATGGTCTATTTTTTGAAATGTTTTTTCGTCAGGATATAATTCAGTCAATGCCTCATGGTTCAACTCCAATAGGTGCACTTGCCAGTGCGATGAGTTTACTCTCCCTCTTTTACCCTGATGCAAATCCTTCTCTTAGGGTAAGTCTCATAACGTTTCCATATGTTTGTGTTCTTTGAACTCGCGGAAACTCTCATTGTGTACATGCATGCAGGGCCTAGATATTTACAAGTCAAAACAAGTTCGTGATCAACAGATTTTTCGAATACTCGGACAGGTATAGTTTGTGTCTCTATTAATTTGGTTCCTTGCATATATATGTATTATAACGTGTCTATTATATACAGGCACCTATTATTGCAGCTGCTGCGTTTTTGAAGACGGAAGGCAAGCCTCATGTTCTTCCTTTGAGCAACCTTTCTTATGGAGAGAACTTACTCTACATGATGCAATCAATGTAGTCCATATCCTCTTCCATTTATTATAACACTTTCAAAAATGAGTTAGTCATATATATATGATCCGTTTTCTAGCTTTAAACGTGTTTGTAACAACATACAATTCCATTGATTACAGGGGAGATAGATCTTACAAGCCTAATCCTCGGCTAGCTCGAGTGTTGGACATCATATTCCTACTACATGCTGAACATGAAATGAGCTGCTCTACTGCTGTTGCTCGGCATATTGCCTCTACGTACTAATTCATATCACTTTTGTTAGAGAATTTTTTATTATTATTGAGTTTGCTATGTTTTAATTAGTGTATTTATTTTTGTGTAGTGGTGTTGATATGTACACTGCTATTGCGGGAGGTGTTGGAGCCATTGGTGGCCCATATCATGGTGGTGCAATGCAGAGCGTGCCTCAAATGTTATCAGAGATTGGGACTGTTGAAAATATTCCAGAGTTCATCGAACGCGTGAAGAACAAGTAACTCATCAGCATACTTAAGACTTAAAAGTATTTTTTGATTGTGATGAATCTTTCTATTAGTGTTAACTTCTTTCTCTCAGGAAGAGGATACTGTCAGGTTTTGGACACCGCATTTACAAAAACTACGACCCACGAGCAAGAGTCACTAAGAAACTAGCGGATGAAGTGTTCTCTATTGTTGGAAAAGATCCTATGTTTGAGGTAGTGCTCACGTAATCTCTCTTGCTTGATTGGTTTGTTGAATTGTATGATGAAAGTTGTATAGTAAATCAAAGAGGTTGATGTTAATTAATTAACCAGGTAGCAAGTGCTCTAGAGAAGGCAGCACTCTCTGATGAGTATTTTGTTAAGAGAAGGCTTTACCCAAATTGTGATTTCTACTGTGGATTAGTCTATAGGTAAGACATGGACGAGTCATATTGATAATTAATGAGTTGTTGTAACTTTACCTGAAAATTAAAATGGGCAAAAAAAAACAACAACAGGGCAATAGGAGTCCCATCACAATTCACGGCGGTTGCGCGTATGGCTGGGTACTTGGCACACTGGCGTGAGTCGTTGGATGATCCTGACACTAAGATCATGAGACCCCAACAGGTAAAATAATACACTCTTTACTACATCAATGACTTGAAAAAGGTTGTTAAGTTCATGAGTAATATATATACATAGATGCATGCACTCTTAATTTGATAGAACAATGACTTAAAAAGAATGTTTTACTTTTTTGGCTCATTGGTAATAAGAACATTATGCATAGATACATGCAGTACTTTGATAGATCAAGAGGTTTTTTTTTATGCTCATGTATCAATGTATCGTGTGGCTGAACAGGTCTATACTGGAGAGTTGCTAAGGCATTACGAGCCAGTGAGAGAAAGAACTATCATGTGATTTAGTTTCGAATCAGTTTGGTTGGCATTACAAGTGGGACAAAGAAACTCAATTTATTTTGTTGCTATGTCAGCCCTTGCTGTCTGTAACGAACTCCATTAAGTAATGCAATGCTTTGATCAAAAAAAAAAAATTCTTAGTTCTATAATATACTAGTAAATATGCGAAAAATGATTTTTTTGAATATAATTTTTAAGTAATATATAAGTAGTGAATATAAAAACAATTTCGTCGTACCAGACCTAGTTGTTTAACTTCAATATATCTTTTATGTGTCACCAAGATCATGAGACCCAACAGGTTGATCAATTTTCTCGATACACGACTTGTACACGCTTCGATAGATCAATGACATCAAAGGTTTCGGCTCATGGGTTATACACTATAATAGGAACTATCTCCCAAGTAACACATTGGTTTATTTCTAGAGATTTATATTTTACACATTTTTTGGTAGATAGTTAAACACAAAATCATATCCTTATGGAATTGCTTGAATATTATATTCTTAGAGTGGAAATGTAATGTAGATTCTATGTATCCAAGTGACAACAAGAATCAAAAACTCTCACGCAACATCGAATCATGAGATTTTAAGGTGAAAGTAATGCATTCTTTGATAATTGTAATTTCACTGATAGAACTTTAAGGTAAATAAAAGCGTCAAACGTTTGAATAAAGTAGATTTTACGCCAGTCACGCCTCAAAAGTCGAAAGTGAGTGTGAATGGAGAGTTTTAAATTGTTATCTCTTACTAAATAACAGCGAAATGAGACTTTAATCATTCACTTGGTTTCTTCTTATAGCTTCCTTTCTTTTGAACTCTAATTATTTTACGTAAAAAAATGGAGAGGGTGAATGCTCGATTGGCCGTTCTCTCTGCACACTTGGAGGTGCCTGACCCCATCGGATTGGAACAGGTGTTACCGGCGGTCATCGAGCCATGGTGCACATCTGGTTCTGCTGCACCACATGGATCTCTTAAGGGAAACTTGACGATCGTTGATGAGCGTACGGGGAAGAAATACCAGGTCCCAATCTCAGAGGATGGTACCGTTAAATCCATTGATCTCAAGAAGGTAATAAATTAAGTATGTTGAGCTAAGTTTAGCATAAACACTGAGAATTTTTTTTTTCAATTTGTATTATATATCTTATTAAAGGATGAACCAAGACACTACAACTTCACAAACATAATAAACACTTAGAAATGTTTTTTTAATTTGTATTATATATTTTACTAAGTCGCTTGCCTCACTACATTGGTTGTATTTATAAACCAGTTTGAGTAAATTATCTAACTCTAGAACTCTATTAATATAGAAAATTTTCTTGCCATTTTCCTAAATTCAAAAGTAAGCAATTGAATTTTTGGTGGTGCAGATAACGAAGGGGAAGCATGACAAGGGGATTAGGTTATACGATCCTGGTTATTTAAACACGGCTCCTGTTCGGTCTTCCATTTCTTGTACTGATGGAGATGAAGGAACATTACGTTATAGGGGATACCCAATTGAAGAGTTGGCTGAGAGTAGCACTTTTCTTGAGGTTGCTTATCTCCTCAGTAAGTTTTGCTCTTATAGTACATTGCTATCATCTTTTGTGAGTATTTCTTGAATTTTTGTTTTGTCTTTTTTTCTTGCAGTTTATGGGAATCTGCCTTCACAAAGTCAGCTAGCTGATTGGGAATATGCGGTTTCTCAGCATTCAGCTGTTCCACAAGGACTGTTGGTGAGTCTAATACTCTTTCCTCATTTGGATTTTCATACTAACTAGCTAGTGTACAGTTCCAAAACTTTCTTTCGAAATTTCGAAAAACATTTGTTTTCAAGTATAAGTTGATTTATCTTGCATTGCTTGTATACCATAATAGATTCTTGGTGCCTTATTTTAACAGTTTATGTCTGAATTTTTTCGCCAGGATATAATTCAGGCCATGCCTCAAGATGCACATCCATCGTGTGCTTTTGTCAGTGCAATGAGTGCACTTTCCCTCTTTTATCCTGATGCAAACCCTTCTCATATGGTAAGTTTTTTCTGAAAACTTTGTATGTATTCTTGAACTCGCGGAAACTCTCATTGTACTGTGCATGCAGGGCCAAGATGTTTACAAGTCAAAACAAGTTCGTGATAAACAGATTTTTCGTATTCTTGGACAGGTATATTGTTATGTCTATTGATGTACGTATAAACGTTGTGATTGTTATGTAAAAGGAATAATATAACGTGTCCATACGCAGGCACCTATTATTGCAGCAGCTACGTTTTTGAAGACGGCAGGCAAGCCTCATGTTCTTCCTTCGAGCAACCTTTCTTATGCAGAGAACGTACTCTATATGCTGCACTCATTGTACGCCACTCTCTTTGATTTATATATAACACTTTCATATGAATTAGACGTTATTAATTACTCTCATCTTTCATTTAATTTTTCAAGGGGAAATAGGTCTTACAAGCCTAATCCTCGTCTAGCTCGAGTGTTGGATGTCATCTTCATACTACTTGCTGAGCATGAAATGAACTGCTCTACTGCCGCTGCTCGGCATCTTGCCTCTAGGTACTAATCCATATCACAGTTTATCAAATTTGTCTACCATAAGATCTATGTTTTAATCAGTATATGTGTTTTTGTGTAGTGGTGTTGATGTGTACACTGCTATAACGGGAGCTATTGGTGCACTTTGTGGCCCACTTCACGGTGGTGCGATTGAGAATGTGCCTAAGATGTTATCAGAGATTGGGACTATTGAAAATATTCCAGACTTCATCGAATGCGTGAAGAACAAGTAACTCAATATACTTAAGTACTAAAAGGTATTTGGATACTGATGATGAATCATTCCCTTAGTGTTAACTACTTACTCTCAGGAAGAAGAAGTTGTCAGGTTTTGGACACCGCATTTACAAAAATTACGACCCGAGAGAAAGAGTAATTAGAAGACTGGCTGATGAAGTGTTCTCCATTGTTGGAAAGGATCCTTTGTTCCAGGTACTTTTAGATTCTTGTATCACTCCTTCTTGATGGTTTGTGGAATGTGGTTTATGAAAGATTTGATGTTAACCAGGTAGCAGTTGCTCTAGAGAAGGCGGCACTCTCTGATGAATATTTTGTTAAGAGGAAGCTTTACCCAAACGTTGATTTCTACTCTGGATTAGTCTATAGGTAGGACATGGATGATTAGTGAGACTAAATTATTGCTAATTAGTTATTGTAACCATTAAGTTATTTACCTGAAAATTTAAATGGGTAAAAACACAGGGCAATTGGAGTCCCACCACAGTTCACCGCAATCCCTCGTATGGTTGGATACTTGGCACATTGGCTTGAGTCGTTGGATGATCCTGACACTAAGATCATGAGACCACAACAGGTAAAATAATCCACTCTTTACTAGATCAATGACTTAAAGATTGTTTGGTTCATGGTAATATATACATTATACATAGATGCATGCACTCTTTGATAGACCAATGACTTAGAAAGAAGGTATTTTTAGCTCAAGGGTAAATACATTATGCACATACACGTTTTGGTAGATCAATGACTAAAAAGGTTCTCTCTTTGGCTCCTAATAATAAAATACCTTATGCGTAGATACATTTTTGCTCATGGCTCAATGTATAGTGTGGCTGCACAGGTCTATACTGGAGTGTGCCTAAGGCATTACGAGCCAGTGAGAGAAAGAACTATCATGTGATATATATGGTTTCGAATCAGTTTGGTTGGCATTACAAGTCAGTGAGACAAAGAAACTCAATATATTTTGTAATTGTGTGATATATCATTTTTGAATTTCTGTACTATATATGTGAAAATATGATCTTGTGAATATGGTTTAAGTAATTAATGTAGAAGTTGTGAATAAAAAAAAAAAAAATCGTCGTAACGCACCAGGTAGTATATAACTTCTACTTTTTTGGTATTTTAACTTCTATATATTTTGTATTTGTGCTGACGCTAAGATCATGAGACCCCAACAGGCAAATACATGATTCATATATAGAGACATACACTCTTTGATAGATTAATGACGTAGAAAGGGTTTCGGTTTATGAGTTATACACTATACATAGATACATAGACTTTGATACATCTATGTCTTAATATTTAACACATTGCTTGGGAGAAAATTAGCCCCCCACCAAGTCATTTCCCTCAGAGTTAATTTGTTGAGTGAATGTTATATTGACGAGAGTATATTATGAATAATGATAATGTAGATTCTATATATTCTACGTAATAACAACAGACCAATCTCTCGTTCAACATCACACTGACACTTTTTCTCCTCACCTATTTGAATGTTATACCACAAAAATTAGCATAGATTCATTTGAATTCAATCTTTCCTTTTCGAGATGGTTTATTTGTACGCTATTCATGATTTGGCTGAAGTTTTCTTATCATTTTGTATTACGGTAATATTTCCACGAAATAATCAATGATGTTAGAAGCGAGAACAAAACTTAAAAATGGCGGTATAACTGTGACGACATACGTTTACCAAATTCCACCTATGTATATCCCTAAATGAATATCTTATTCTTGTTGAATTAAAAGTAAAACATTGGTTTGCTTCTAGAGATTTATATTTTACACATTGCTTGGGAGAACGTTGAACACAGAATCATATCGTTACGAAATTGACTGAATATTATATTCCTAGATGATATACAATATAGATTCTATGTATCCAAGTGATAACAACATAACAAATCTCTCACGCAACATCATATGACATTTTTTTTCTCCTCGACCATTTGGAATTTTACACCACAAAACTAGCATAAGTTTTCATCCCCAAACTTATGGATATAATATCTCTTAAGATAGGAATGATGTATTTGCAAGTTATGTTATAGTTTGCCTAAAGTTTTCATATCATGTTGTGTTTTCAGTAAATATTTCCATGTACAAATGAATTCATGAGAACTGAAAAGTAAAAAATGGCGGTAACTCAACGGGCACAGACTTTAAAATAATCAAAGACCAGGAAAGTAGACTGCATTAGATTCACGCTAACCTAGTGGCAAGGCGACACTTAATCCAGAAAGACACAAGTGCAAGTATAAAAAGGCAATGATATTAAGAGAATAAGATTTAAATATTCACTTGGTTTATTCATTGCTTCCTTTCTTTTGAATCTTAAAATTTTAGGTGAAAATGGAGAGGGTGAATGCTCGATTAGTGGTTCTCTCTGCGCACTTGGAGGTGTCTGATCCCATGCCGGCGGCGATCGAGCCATGGTGCACATCAAGTGTTGGTGCACCTCATGGATCCCTAAAGGGAAACTTGACGATCGTCCATGAGCGTACAGGGAAGAAATATCGTGTCTCGGTCTCAGAGCATGGTACTGTTAGGTCTACTGATCTCAAGAAGGTATATATATAACGAGTTTTTCATATGACAAGCATGTAGTTGATCCAAATTTGGATACATGTTGTGTTAATGTAGCTTAGAGATATATTTACGTGTTTGGTTTGTAGATAACGACAGGGAATGATGACAAGGGGATTAAACTATACGATCCTGGTTACTTGAACACGGCTCCTGTTCGATCTTCTATCTCTTACATCGACGGAGATGAAGGCATCCTACGTTATAGGGGATACCCTATCGAAGAGTTGGCTGAGAGTAGCACCTTTCTTGAGGTTGCTTACCTCCTCAGTAAGTCTTGCATCATCATCTTCTTGTAACATCTTGTAGCATGTATTTTATTTCTTTTGAGACACGAACTTGTTGACGGAGATGGCCGTATTTATCATCTTTTGGGTGTTTTTTGTTTTACAATCTTTTGTGGGTTTTTTTTTTTTTTTCTTTTTTTGTCTCCCTTAGTATTCTAATTTGTAGGTTACTACTTTGTGTTCTTCTCTCTTGCAGTTTATGGGAATCTTCCTACTCAGCGCCAGCTAGCTGATTTGGAGTTTGAGGTTTCTCAGCATTTAGCTCTTCCACAAGGACTACTGGTTAGCATTTAACCATATTGTGAAATGATCATGTGTGTGTGATTATGATTACTGATCACTATACGACGTAACACTTAATATTTTGAGAGGTGTGAGGCTTTTAGTATATCTGATGAATATGGTAATAACTGTATGTAGTAATAGATTTTTTATGACGATTTAATAGATTACTAGGATTAGATCCGCGCCTTACGGAATGAAATGAGTAAATTTGTTGTATTTTTTGAAGATAAGAAGACATTATATATGTTTTATTTGCATATTAGTTTGTTTTGGATTGGTTGTTTCGGGTTTTAATATCGTCCAATTATATATTTATATTATAAATATTGTCTTTTTGGTTAAATTGCGATTTTGTCTCATATATCTGTTTTTTTTTGTCATCCACACGACATGGAAACACGTAAGATGAAAGTATATTGCTGTCAATATCATTAAGAGTATTGAGACAATCCCGAATCTCCTTTTAGTCTCAATATGGGTTGTGAAAAGGCTCATTTCGAGAAGCAAATTCTCGACTTGTATAACGAAATCTCCAATCTCAAGAGCCCTTAAACCTTTCACATATATATGTCGACAATTTGTTCAATAGCTCTGTCTATGGATACAAAAATCGACGTTAAAAATTTGTGCCCAAAAGCCCAAAACTACAGAACCAATCTCACCAACCTACGTAGTGAAGATATAAAGTTTCCAGAGCACCACTACTATATGGCCTTGGGATCTCTCGAAGACAACACATTTCACCATTTAGATCTATCTTCAGTACACTAACTACCTCAAACTTAGCAAGGTTGAGTTCAATCTCTTCACGCTACACACGAGCCATATCCAAACCAAGATCGCGTTCATGGGCTCCGGTACGTTGCCCTTCACATCCATCATCTTAGATACGTCACACCGCTCTAATAACGACGTTCCAGAACTTTGACATCGACTCTCAAGCCAATTCACTTGCCTCCGAACTTGTCTCATGCGATATTGAACTTTGTAGTTTTAAAGTATCTCATGTGTTTTATAATTGAAGTAAATAAGGTAAACAATTGTTGAAGTAAATAAGGTAATATATTGTGAAAATGTAGTAAATAAGGTAATAAATTGTGAGAAGGTAGTAAATAAGGTAATAAATTGTGAGAAGATGGTGTGAAAACATTTAATGCAAAATGCTTCTCTTTTAATATATTAGGGATTTCTTAATGATTTTGCCAGGATATAATCCAGTCCATACCTCAAGATGCACATCCATCAGGCGCTTTTCTCAGTGCCATGAGTACACTTTCCCTCTTCCATCCTGATGCAAATCCTTCTCATATGGTAAGTTTTATAAACCCTTCTTCTTTTTTTTTTTCTGAAAACGTGTACTCTAAGCTAACTCATTGTGCTCCATTTGCTTGTATTCTTGATTTCAAGGAAGACTCATTGTTTGCATGCAGGGCCAAGATATTTACAAGTCAAAACAAGTTGTTGACAAACAGATTTTCCGTGTTCTTGGACAGGTATTGTTGTGTCTCTATTGATTCTGTGCCATGAATGCATGTAGTATATATAATACGTGTCATAAACAGGCACCTACGATTGCAGCAAATGCTTTTCTGAGGACATCAGGCAAGCCTCCTGTTCTTCCTTCGTGCAACCTTTCTTATGCAGAGAACTTACTCTATATGCTTGATTCAATGTACACCACTCTCAATCTTCACCCTTTGATTGATTATAAAGTTACTGCTTTAGTCAGTAACAAGATAAGTATTCGTCTCATCTTTCATTGATTACAGGGGAGATAGGTCTTATAAGCCTAATCCTCGTCTAGCTCGTGTGTTGGACATTATCTTCATACTGCATGCTGAACATGAAATGAACTGCTCTACTGCTGCGGCTCGGCATCTTGCGTCTAGGTTACTAATTATATCATTCTGTTTAGAGATTTTTTAATTATTGAGTTTGCTATAGGTTTTAATCAGTATATTTGTTTTTGTGTAGTGGTGTTGATGTGTACACTGCTATTGCTGGAGCTGTTGGAGCTCTTTACGGTCCACTTCATGGTGGTGCAGTTGAGGCTGTCTCTAAGATGTTATCAGAGATTGGGAGTGTTGAAAATATTCCAAAATTCATCCGATGCGTGAAGAACAAGTAACTTAATATACATTAAGACTAAAAGTATCTTTGATTGTGATGAGTTATTCATTACATTTACTTTCTCTCCAGGAAGAGGAGGATGTCAGGTTTTGGACACCGAGTTTACAAAAACTACGACCCTCGAGCAAAAGTCGTTAAGAAACTAGCCTATGAAGTGTTCAACATTGTTGGAAAGGATCCTCTCGTTGAGGTACTTAAGATCCTCTCTTGCTTTATGGTTTGTTAGATGTGGTTTAAGAAATATTTGATGTATGATGTTAACCAGGTAGCAGTTGCACTAGAGAAGGCGGCAGTCTCTGATGAATATTTTGTTAAGAGAAAGCTTTACCCAAACGTTGATTACCCGATTAGTCTATAGGTCTGATAGTTATCTAGTAAATTCTTGCTAATGAGTTGTTGTAGCCATTAAGATCTCTCCTGAAACTTTTGTGTTGGTAATTGAAATTGCTTAAAAACACAGGGCAATGGGAATCCCACCACAATTTATCGCAGTCCCACGTATGGCTGGATACTTGGCACACTGGCTTGAGTCATTAGATGATCCTGACACTAAGATCATGAGACCCCAACAGGTAAAATAATACACTCTTTGATAGATCAGTGACTTAAAAAGGGTTGTTTGGCTCATTGGTAATAGCTTATAGAGAGACTTTTTGATAGATCACTAACTAGGTTTTCTTTTTTGGTTCATGGCTCATTGTGTGGCTGTACAGGCTTATACTGGAGTGTGGTTAAGGCATTACGCTTCAGTGAAATGATTTGGATTCTGATCACTGATCAGTTTGTGTTAACCACATATGTTGTTAGTGTTTCAGAAAAAAAAACATATATATGTTGTTATGTTGTATTTGTACGTACATATGTCCTGTAATCCATAAAAACATATTATGATGTCATATTATAAGTAACATTTGTAACTTGTGAATGTAATAACAAAAATTCATTGTACTATAGTATGTCTTAAGAATATGGTGTAGTAACACGATTCCTTTATCTATAAAGTTGGAAAAAAAAAAAATCTTATTTTGGTTTGTATATTACGTATTCTGATAGACTAAAAATGTATACACCACATTGATTTGGAGAAAGCTAACCCTCAAATCATATTCTTAAGAAATAAACTAAATATTATGTTTTTAGAGTGAATAGCATAATGTCGGTCCTAATTGATAAACATCAAACTAATCTCTCGCTAATTGTAATTTTAATTTAAATCATGGGGGAGAATATAAAACGTGGGATAAGAACATGGGACCCAGATACAGACACGAAAGCAGGCCCCACCCATTAAACGATGAGCTGTACATTTATTTTGTCATCTCTTAGCAAATAAACCCTTCATGTTTACCGTTAATTACAAAACAGCCCCTTTATTTCCTCCATGATCAACGACGAGGTCGAATACGATCGCTATTTTCCAAATCTCTCTCTGATCTTCGTTCAATCTAATCTCAGTGGTTTACTTGCAATAGAAGTCTCCTCTTAAGCTCTCTCGAGAGGCTCAGGTACATCATCGTGAATCTTATACTCTTCCTCTAGATCTCTCATTGATCAATCTTGTTACGATTCGTGTGGTTCGGATTAAAAAACTAATCTCCTTTCATAGTTTTTGATCCAATCTGATTCAGATTTCTGTATGTGATCGTTCACACAGACATTTCTAGATTTAAAGATTTGATCTTTTTTATTTGGTCTTAATCCAGACAAGTCTTTCTGTTACTGTCGGAAAAATAATCCAAATCTCCTTTTATTTGCACTAGTTCCACCATGGCTGGACAAAACGCGCGTTTGAATGTGGTCCCCACCGTTACAATGCTCGGAGTCATGAAAGCTCGTCTCGTTGGCGCCACAAGAGGCCACGCGCTCCTCAAAAAGAAGAGCGACGCTCTAACCGTTCAGTTCAGAGCCCTTCTCAAGAAAATCGTCACAGCTAAAGAATCAATGGGAGACATGATGAAAACCTCTTCCTTCGCTCTCACGGAAGTCAAATACGTCGCTGGCGAGAACGTCAAACACGTTGTTTTAGAGAACGTCAAAGAAGCCACGCTTAAAGTCCGGTCCCGACAAGAGAACATAGCTGGTGTGAAGCTCCCTAAGTTCGACCATTTCTCAGAAGGTGAAACCAAGAACGACTTAACCGGTTTAGCTAGAGGTGGACAGCAAGTTCAAGCGTGCCGTGTGGCTTACGTTAAAGCTATTGAGGTTTTAGTTGAGCTTGCTTCTCTCCAGACTTCGTTCTTGACGCTCGATGAAGCGATCAAGACGACGAATCGGAGGGTTAATGCTTTGGAGAATGTGGTGAAGCCTAAGATTGAGAATACGATTAGTTATATTAAGGGGGAGCTTGATGAGCTTGAGAGGGAAGATTTCTTTAGGTTGAAGAAGATTCAAGGGTATAAGAGGAGGGAAGTTGAGAGACAAGCAGCTAATGCTAAGGCCTTTGCTGAGGAGATGGTTCTTGAAGGGATCTCTATGCAGAGAGGGATTTCGATTAATGCTGCTAGGGATTTGCTTGTTGGTGGTGGTGCAGAGAAGGATGCAGATATTATTTTCTGAGGTGTGTGTGTGTGTGTGTGAGGCTCTCTCTATTTATACTTTTGGTTTATTATACTCTCTTTATGAGACTTTATGTTTCTTGGAATAAAAATGTATTTGGTGTAGATGAAAAGATTGTATCGTCTTGAGTTGTGATTTTTTTTTAAAGAGATTTGTGATTGTTACCCTGTTTCAAATAAGAATATTGGATGTTACACATTGGTGTTAATAAGCTGTTACTTCTTGATGTCGTCTTCTTGATGTTGTCTTGTTGATAAGTGTACTTTTATCGAGAGGTTCTCGTATTGTGAACTATGATAGAAACTGAGGATCTATCACCACAATGGATTTTTTTTTCGGAACTTCCAAAACTCTTTAATTACTTAGTATTCTTTCCATTTCAATAAGATACATATTTTAGAATATTTACACTTTTTAAAAAAAAAAAAATCTTAATTTTTGATTATAAATATATTTTTTGTTGTGTTTAACCATTTTTCATAAGTGGTAGCCAATCAGAATTTAATAAACACAATTCTTTTTTTTAAATTACTATTTATCATTATTACATATACTGAAAATATAAAATATTAATTTTTTTGAAACAAACTTTTTCTTAGAATATGGATATTTTAAAAATAGAGGGAGTAATACATTAGAGAGATATAATTGGTTTCTAAGCTAGGTTGTTAATGTTTTTGGTGTAGATGTATAATTCATACCAATTTACACAATGGAAAAGAAAAATCTATATTATAATAGTTGAGTTTCAAGATTTTTCAATGCGCCACATCAGCATTAGGTGGGTCCCACTTTAAAAAAATGTGAAAAAATGTCAAACATATGATTCGAACCCGGGTTATTAAGAATCAAACACTAACTTTCATACCACTAAACTACATGATAACTTGTACATTGATGGCCGAAACTAATATATATTTAGCCGGAAGCCTTTGCATATGGCCTCATTTAAAATTCGTGCCTGGAAGTGTATTATGAGTTTCATTTTTAATTGGGCTTCATCATATTATATGAAAAAAATCCTCAAATTTACAACAGTTACAGTTTTCCCATATTGTAAACCGTTAATGTTTAAAATGAGTTAAGATTCATTTCACCTTCGTCTCATACAAGTCTGAGTTATAGAGCTGCGTCGTGTGTCTGATCGTAATCTATTTTTTTTCACCAGTGAACTTTTCATCTCCCCATCTTACATCGCTTGATCATAAATGTTCCTGATTTGTAGCCCCTTTGTAAATCATATATATATGATTCTCATCTTTGATGAACCCTATGTGCATCTCCACAAAACTTATCTATTCCTCTTAACTTTAACCATCTTCTAGAAAATGTCTCTCTTTCCTTTCCCAGTTCCTAAAACTAGCGTCACCGGCATCCGTCATGCAGCCTTCAAGTCTCTCTGTAATGTTAAAGTAAACATAAGCCATACCAACCAAATTAACATATAGAACCTCAAATCATTCAGTATGGGTTTTAGTAAACGAAACTAATAATAATAGAAATAAAGTCATACAACAAATTCAAACCTTCTTATTGCAGGTTCCGAGAACACCGAATTAACAGAGGTTCACTGAGTAAGGAATGCGATGGAGACAGCCTTAACTAAGGTGAGCTAATCTCTCTTCCATGTTGCTATAGAAATACCATAATTTCACAAAATGACACACTAAAAACACAATCAGACCAAGAATCACAAGAGCTTGTCACACTACTGAAGATGACGAGGAGAAACAAAAAGGGCGAGTAAACAATCCAGTTTCAGATCTAAATTGAGACTCAATCATCAAATTTCAAGTCCAATCATTTAAAACCCAGCTACTACATTTTCATTGTGTTCGAATATAATCCTATACGACTAAACTTTTTAATCTATCATTCCCATTTTTAAACTACCACAAAATATTTTTGACAAATATAAAAAAAATAACTATCTTAGTCATACATGTATATAATTATACGAAGCCTTAGCATTTATTAAACTACAGTTATATATTTTCAAAACATGTCATGACACATTGAAAACAACAAACTATATTTCTTTTTGAATAACAAAATTATTTCTTCTTCGTTCCCATATTATAGTTGTATAGTAACAAATACCTATATTTGGTTACATATGGTTATTAACTCACTAATAACATTAAGATCCAATTAAATCGTAAAAAAATATAGAAATACGAACACATATAAATTCGTCAAACACTCTTATCTGTAAATAAAAACAGGTCTTTACTCACTAATAAATATTGATCTCTAAACATTCCACACAACCCCTTAACAAACATGTTTCATTTTTTTCTCTTCAATCCATTAAACTATATTTCTTTGTATAATTTAATAAAATCTTATTTTTTAAATGCTAATTCACTATTTAACAATAATATACTACCAACCTACAAATTAGACAATAACAATATAATAAATCACCCATCCTAGACATAAAAGCACTAATAATACAAATATTCGAGAAAATTATTACTAAAATAATATATGAATATTTCAAAGCATATGAATTTTCACTCATTCATATACCAACTCAATTCAATTGGGTTTTCGGTTAAACCCAAAAAAAAAATGTCCAAAAAAATGACATAATCCCATCTATAAAATATCATAATGCATTGGTAACGATTGGTAACGAAGGTTGATTTAATATGCTATGAGCTTAGAATTTAATTTTTCAGAATTTGGTTAATTTGGCTGGTAATAAAAAAACTCTGATTGGTAACTACGGTCCATTAATCATGGTGATTAAAATTGATTAGATCCTTCGAATTCGTTTCTAAATTCTGGCATATGACGTAGCATACTCTCTATTACGCAAATCGGTGATTCAAATTCTGAATGCAAAATTAATTTCTGTCATTTTTATTTTATTTTAAAGATTCTAAAATTGTATACAAGATCTATTTGATGAAGAAATTATAGAGTTGTAGCTTGTTTATGGCATTTAGGAACTGTGGAAGAATTAGGTAAAGTGACAATTCATGTAAAGTATATCTTCTAAGAAATGGCAGTTTATGGAAAGTTTTCTTTAACATATTATATATGGAACAAAACTTACCTTCACCCCGTAAGGTGAATGGTATAATTCACCCATTTTCCCTAAACCAATTAAACTTTCACATAGGATTAGTAAAAACGAATAAAATTTACCTTTACCTTCTAAGGTGAATGGTATAATTCACCCCTTTTCCCTAAACCACTTAAACTTTCACATAGTATTAGTATAAAAAGGTAATTATAATTAAAAGGAAAAAATAAAAAAGTTAAAGCCGCCGCCGTTAACTTACCTTCTTCTTCTTCTTCATCCATCGATTTTTTTTTCCAGAAACTCCCAAATAATTCTTCTCTTAACTCTTTTTTTTTTTTGGTCTAAATGTTAAGATTCTTCTCTTAACTTACAGGTGCGAATCACTCAATTAACATAATTAACATCAAGTCTAAGTTTGTTTGTTATATATATCTCTTCATAATTAGCATCAAGTCTAAGTCTATGTTTGTTATACATAATTAAATTGTGTTCATAATTAGATTCTTCTCTTAACTTACAGGTGCGAATCACTCAATTAACATAATTAGCATCAAGTCTAAGTTTGTTTGTTATATATATCTCTTCATAATTAGCATCAAGTCTAAGTCTATGTTTGTTATACATAATTAGATTGTGTTCATTTCTTCTTCTTTTAGTTTCAAATCTGATATGTATTAACAAGAGATTTCTATTAATAATTGCCAAACTAAATTCAGATTTAAAATGGACTAGCTAGTTTGATATGTGTTGGTCCATTGTGATTTATGTACGTGATGATAAAATATATTGATCACTGGAAAAAAATTCTTTTTAAGTATCTTCTAGTTTTTTAATATTTTGAAATTTTAACCAAATAAAATGTTGGTTATATCTTTAGACTTTTAATTTAGACTGCTCACGTAAAGACTTTTTTCTGATTTCCAAACGAATTATTAATAAATATCTCTATAAATGCTCATTTTTGTATTTTTTTTTTTAAACCGGGATGGATTCAGGCCTTCGACCTTAATGCCCCCAAGTCCGGAACCAGCATGTGTCTGTACCTTTTACGGTCCTGGACACTTCTCTCCGTCCGAGACTCGAATTCGTGATCTCTCAAACAATTGCTTGAAGTGTTACCAGTTGAGCTAGCTCGTCTGGATAACTCATTTTTGTATTGTGGTATGTCATAATCCAAAGTAATAAAGTTACAGCTAATAATTTTATTTGATGTTATCCGTTTTGTAATAACTGAAAGAATATCTGTACTTAATACTTACAACATTTACCATATTTGCACTTCATACCTAATTTCTCCCTCTCCAATTTTTTTCCCTCCATCGTCACTCTTTCCCCACAATATTTAGATATTTTATTAATTACTACATTCTTCTTGTATTTTCAGCCAATTCACCCTAATTGAAATGATGTTTTTATTGAAAAGTTAACATACAAACGTACATTTCCTTCACAATAATAGTCTTTCACAATAATAGTTGTTCGTTTCATTATCACTTTTTATAGAAAGTTAATATACAAACGTACAATTCCTTCATAACAAAATTGTTATTTTTCAATATATACCCGATGACATTTAAACACAATCACAACGACACAGAGCCGAGTATCATTACATAGAATCACAAGTTGTTAAATAAGAAAAGAAACTAATTAGATGTAAACGTCTTCTAACTTGGAAAAAAATAGTAAAGAGAGAGAGTGACTTGATCCAATATTCAAAGAAAAAAAACTTTTAACTCATGTTTGAACAAATAAAATTCTCAATTTTTAAATATTGGTCGTTTTAACTATCACGTTTTGTTGATTTGGTCATTTAAAAAACTTTAATAGTCAAATGTTAAACTCGATTATAAAAACAAATGTATGTTAATTCTTTATACGATGTAGTTTTAAAAACCGACTAAACATTAATCAAACAACATAGTTTTTCTTTTGTAAACACTTAAAGCATCTTATTTGTAAAACTAGAAATCCAATTTCATCTTCCTCATTTCGAGTCAGGAAGATGAAATCAATTTTGGACTCTAATTTCGCGAAAGAGATGCTTTAAGTGTTTAAAGAAGTAAAACAGTTGTTTAACTGATTTTTAAAACGACATCGTTTACAAAGTTAACATACATCTATGTTTATAATCGCGTTTAAGTGTTGACTATTTGGTTTTCTTAAATGGCCGATCAACAAAATATGAGATTTAAAATGATCAATACTTGAAAGTTGAAGATTTTTTTGGTTCAAACACGAGTTCAAAGTTTTTTTAGCTTTAATTTGAAAATTTAGGATTTTAATAGTTGTTTTATCAATATTTAAAACTAGATTAAAGGGTTTAAGAAAATAAAAGCTAGACTAGAGAAATTATTTTTTAAAAATGTAATTACTCTAAACATCAGGCCTGTACAAATTCATTAATTATTTAATTTTCAAAGCTAACGTTACTTCTTAGCTTAGATAAGTGTCGGCTAAACTAACGGTCAAGTCTATGCGTCCGTGAAGGGTCATGATCCGGTTTAGGGGTGAGCACTTTACCCGATATCCAAAATCATATCCGAATCCAATCCAATATATCTGAAATCCGAATCAAAGTAACAAAATACCCGAATGCATATTGAGTTAGGAGAGTTTAGATATCCGATACCGAACATATGTATATATATATATTATTCTCAATTTATTTATCTCATTTTATTCAAAATATTTATATTAGTGTTGTATATTGCTTAAAATCAGATAATATACATATAACTTAAAAATGATTTGCTATTTATTTAAAATGCATATTAAGATTTTGATTTCATGTGTTTAACAAAAATTGTATCAAAAATTTGAAAATAACAACCAGGTTAATATTTTTCTATTCTAAATAATTTATTTTAAACTTAGTAGTCGTTAACTTGTTAAGCATTTAAAAACATTTAAGTTAATAGTAAAATTTTAAGTACATAAATTTCAAACGATGGAGAAACTTGAATTTTTTTCTTTCAAAATCTAAATATCCAAAACCTAACCTGAAATAACCGAACTTAAAATATCCAAATTCGACCCGATATGTAAAAATATCTGAATAGATGTAAGACCCCAATACCAAAATACCCGATCCAAATCCGAATGGGTACCGGAACGCTTACTTTCATTTAGCAAACGCGCACAGAAATACAGGTAGACTCGCACGCAGGCAACCACAACATTAGGTTTTTAGAAGGGCAAAATCGTAATATCAAAATCAGGAACGACAGGGTATAGGGGTTACTTGCGTTTTATCCCGCCTCTCAATTCGAATTTTGAAAATAGTTTGTTTTCCTCCACACGTGTGACTGTGTGCACGTGGCAACGTTTCGATTTGTTTTATAATCCCGCTCCTCCCCCTCATAGATCGTTACTCATTCTCTCTTCCCCAGAAAACTCGCCGCTTCCGAGTTTCATCAGTTCATCAATCGCTTATACAAGACTCAGAGGTAACAACGAATCTCGATGGAGTAATCTTCAGTTTCTCTGTTCGATTTGAGTAGAGATGTGACTATTAGTGAATCGATTTTCTTTTGTCGTTTCTTGAGATTTTTTATTTGAAATTACCGATTTGGATTTGAATTTTGATATTGAATGATAGCTCTAATCATTGATGAATCTGATTCTTGTGTTGTTTTCAGGCACCGAATTTGATTAAAAAAAATGGCAGAGGCGAGAGATAGAGTGGAGAGGCCGGTGGATTACGCGGCGATATTCGCTAACAGACGCAGGCACGGTGTGTTACTCGACGAGCCAGCTTCACGTCTTGAACATCCAGTTCAGAGATTGCCATCTCGGGTGTATCCTTCACGATCCGGAGCTTTGGTGAGAGGAGGAGGAGGGAATTACAGTGGATGGAGGAGTGGGAGTAGGGTTAGATTGTTACAGGGAAGAGAGAATGTGTCTGCTAGGCGTGGAAGTGGAAGTGGGAGTTTGTTACCTTCTTGGTACCCAAGAACGCCTCTCCGTGATATTACTCATATTATGAGGGTATAGTTATTAATCACTCTTGTGGTTAATTAATCAGTTTTGGTTCAGCCTTGGTTAGATGAACAAACGGTTTTGCTGAGTCTTTTAGTTTACTCAAAGTCGTTTTTAAGCTGAATTATGATTGGTTTGTGTGTAGGCTTGCTTGTGTAGGCTGAATCATAAATCCAAAGGCTTGCTTAGCCTTTTGTGTGTTGATTCTGGTCTGATATGGGGTTTTGCAGCTTGGTTTAGATGGACAATGGTTATCGCTGAGTCTTTTAGTTAGCACATTGGGTCTCGTAGTCCTTCCTTTTGTCAGCTGAATCATGATTGGTTTTGAAGTAGGCTTGCTTAGTCTTTCTGTTTAAGCTGAATCTTAAAGCCAAAGTCTTGCTTAGCCTTTTGTGCGTTCATTCTTGTCTGATATGGGTTTTGCAGCTTGGTTAGATGGAGAATAGTCTTTGCCGAGTCTTTAGTTTCCTCACTTAGTCCTTCCTTTTCAGCCGATTTGTGTCTGAATATCCATTGAAGGAGGCTTGCTTAGCCTTTTATGGGTATGGTCTGATATTGGTTTTTGCAGCTTGGTTTAGCTGGACAATGGTTTTTTCTGAGTCTTCAATTTCCGTATTGGGGTCTCTTAGTACTTGTTTAGCCTCTTAGGACAATGTTCATTGAATGAGGCTTGCTTAGCCTTTCGAATCATAGCTTTTGTTGCCAAAAGGCTTGCTTAGCCTTTCGAATCATAGCTTTTGTTGCCAAAAGGCTTGCTTAGCCTGGCGATTTATCCTGTTTATGGCTTTGTTAATTTCAGGCTATTGAGAGGAAAAGAAGAGCTGGTATGGGAGTAGAGGATGGTTTGGAGACTGAGACTCCAACTCAGCGACAAGTTCTTGAAACTCCAGTAGGTGAGCACAGTTGCGTAATGGTGACACCTGCTCCAGCTGTGGGATTCAAGCGTAGTTGCCCACCATCAACTGCTAAAGTCCATAAGATGTTGCTTGACATCTCAAAGGAGATATCTGAGGAAGAAGCAGGGTTCATCACGGCAGAGAAGAAGCTACTCAATTCTATTGACATGGTAGAGAAGATTGTGATGGCGGAGATTGATAAACTGAAGAGCACTCCTCTTGCCAAAAGGGAAGAGCGGGAGAAAAGGGTCAAGACTTTAATGTCAATGCGATGATGATCCTCCACACTTAGGAGAGAGGAGGAGGTATCAGTGAGTACATACATCATCTTCTGATGATACCAAAAATCAGTGGATCATCTTCTGATGATATGTCTTCTACGAGTCCTTTGAGTATATCATTTTCTTATGATTCTACTAGAAAAGTTCAATCATCATGTTGATGATTTTGTAAGATCAGGAACCATCTACTGATGGATAATAGTTTTGATAGTTCGTTCACACATAAATGTTTGGAGTCTCCTCTGTAGACATTTTTTCCCTTGTAAATGAAACTCGTTCTTTGTTATTACGTTGAATAATTGTCATTTGTGAATCTTGAGCTTTGCTAGTTAGTTTAGCTTCAAGTTCAGAGAATAATTAAGATGACATTTGATGTATAGGTACAATTGAATTTTAGAATTACAGTCGGATTAAACTTGGTAACACATAATAGACAAGAGAACATAGTTCATGTATATGTATAAAGAGAAAAAGAGATGTTTTTCTTTTATGGAAATAAAAGATAAAAGTGTCTCAAAGGTGCAACGAAATGAAGAGTTTTCAAATCACCTGGCGATATTTTTATACATAGACCACATAGACAAGATTCAGAGGTTTGTCATCAATATTGGTGTTTGTTCCCTTCTGAAGTTTTTTTATTAGACAATGGGAGGATACTGCTTTAACTGCAGCTTAACCCTTTTCTTGTACTCAACTACATCCTGCATATTTTTCAATCTCCATTGGTATAATAAACTCACAATCACTTTGGTTCCTATGTCTCTGAAACTCACAATCACTTTTAGGGGTGTCAAGTAAAAAATCCTGAATGCCGACAAGAATCTGCTTCGCTGTAATCCCTCTAATCAACCAACCAATACAACCATTTGCAGATATCGAAAAGCCAATTAAATCTCAAACTAAGAGTGTAAGATAGATATCAGAGTTTAGTTTTCTAGACCAAAGTCAGGATATCACAGATGAAGGTAAAAAGAGAGATTAGAGTTACTATTTCACTAAGCGCATTCACAACAAATAATGGGACAATCAGCCTTACAGTGTTGTGTAAATAGCTAATAATACTACTAACATAATGATTAGCAATTACTCTTACACAAAAACTATTTATCAGCAACGAACCAAGTCGAAAAGGGTAAGTAAGGTACACATAAGAGTTCAAATGCAAGAACATGATCAAGATTAAGCACCAAAATTTCAAAGCTTGAATTCAGAACACCACAGGTGAAGATGATTTGTAAGTGATAATGATTTTTGTCTTGCAGAAAGTTTTAAGTATGGAGGGATTATATGTGATAAGATATATTTAAAACTAAATAGTTGTTTCTATATTAAAGAATTGTGGACGTTGATATACTGTAAAGGTTTCAGATGGTTTTCATGTCCTTTAACAAAAATTTGGGTTTGGAAGGATTGGGTTGCTGATAATTGTTTGTGTATGTTATAAGAGTAATTACTTTTATGTAGAAATTATAGTCTTGAGTTTTCCGACGTAGACTCTCGAGTTTCTCCAACCTTGTTAAAATTGCTGCTAAGATATCTTTGATTTTTCTCTCCATTTTCTCTCTCTCAGATGATTTTTGGTGATAGTGTTTGTTAGGGGAGTGGAGGGGGATAGAGAGAGATGTTTGAATTTATAACAAACCTTCCCCTTGTTGATTATTAATTAACGAAAATTTCAAAATCTATTTTTCACAAATTAACCAGAATTTTAAAATCTATTTTTCACAAACCCCTTTCTAACAGCGATGGCTTTGGGCGCCATGGTGTTAAGCGCTGCAAAACAATGATCTCAACGCTTCTACTCTATTAAAATAAAGTCATTCTTTTTATCTATTGATACACGTTGTCATTTAAATTTGGATTCTTTCTAGAGTGTTATAAATAATACAAGTCATATAGTTAATTGAAGCGCATTACTTAAATTAAATCGATGTTTATTTATGGGATATAGTTTTTGGCTTATTTAGAACAAATTATATGGTTTGGTTTTTGGGCTTAGTATTAAGGAAAAACTCCAAAAACATTAAATAAATTTTCCACCTTAATGGATCAAAAAAATCAGTTATTATTTTTAAGCCCAAAAGGTATTTAATATTTTTAAACAAAACAAAATTGTCAATTATTAATTATTTATTTAAATCATGTACTTTAAAACATGTTAATGTATTTTTTTATTTTAAATAACAATCACTTTGTTTTGATAAATTTCAATGGTAACTTTTAAATAATCTATTGTTTTATTTCTCTTAAATAATTTACTGATTTAAAAAAAATGTAAAGCAAAACCAAAAATTGAAAAAAAAATTATATTTTTTTGCTTTTATTTATTTACAAAATAAGCTATTGCAAATTTCTTTAAAAGAATTTTTGTCATCTTTTCAGTTTTAAATTAGATGTTCGATTATTTGGGATTTGTTTGTTAGTAATATCAGTTCAAACTAACTCAGCAGGTCTAAGAATTAAAAACCCAAACCAAAAGCTAAAAATCAAAAATAGAAACTTAAAAACTAAAAACCCAAAACCAAAAACCAAAATCTAAACCAAAATCTAAAACAAAATCTAAAAATAAAAACTAAAACTAAAAACTAATGAATAAAAATCATAACCACAAATTTTGGTGAACTGATTTTATCCCAAGACATTCTTTAATTTAAGACAAAACCCAATTACATAAATTTTTAATTATAAAAAATTTCCGCGCTTTCACGCGCGGGTCAAAATCTAGTTGTTACTTTAAATGAGTCGCACGCTAATTTGAATGTTTAATTTTATTTGTTCAACAAATAAAATACATAAATATGACGTAACTATAATAATATTTGTATTCACTTCTTTTTTGGACAATATTTACTTGATTTCATTAGTTCCGGGTGTAACGTGGATATAATATTTATCGTTAGCGATTGTATTGTATGATTATGGTATATAAATCAGACTACTGATTAATGGTTAACAATTAAGAATACTGATATATAAATCAAATTACTGATTAATCATTAAACATGGTAACCCAATAATCTCAAAGGTTATTTTATGTTCAAAATGTCTTTAAAATATCTTCTCTTTATTAAACCAGTATTATTCCTTTATGAATTATGATTGTCAACTTTTACCATTTTGACAACTTTTATCACCTAACTTGAACGGTCTTGACAGAAAATTTAAAATGAATATGAATTAAGATACTATCCATGTTAAAATGTGGATTGTGTTTTTTTTTTTAACTTGCAAAACAGAATTAGTGCAATTTTATTATATTCTAAGATTTTTTCAAAAACTTAATATATTGGTAATTTATGTTATAGTGTTTATTTTAGGTTATTGATATAATCGCCAAAGTACCTACAAGTCAACAGTCAGATAAAGTATAAATTAAAAAAATAAATTAAACTCATCGAAGTAAAAAATTAAAAATTAATTGTCATGAACAACAACATGTTGCCAAAAGCTTTCTCCACCGCGAGACAACTCATCAACCCCTTTTTGTATTTTTTAAAGTCAGAATGACCAATAAGATCCTATAATTATCATTAAGGAATATGATTTTATGAAGTCTGGGTTAAAACAACACATAAAATATAAACATACTACAAAAAACTTACTAGAAATGTCTTCATAGACTATGTTATCTTTGCATAAGGTTAGTTCTTATTTGGTAAATTACCTACAACAAAACTTGGAATCTTAGCGAAATAAAAAGATTCAACTCAAACTAAAATATTTGTTCTTTACACTGACAGCAGAATTACAATCCGTCTTTATAAGTGCATATTCTTTTTTTCTACAAAGTCTCTAATAAACTTCAGACCAAACCCTTTTGATACGTGGGTAAGTGGTACAACAATGTCGAAGACTTTTGCTATATCTTTGACTTCTTGAAGTGGTAACTTCCCAAATGACACAACCTGAATTATCATCTCACAAAAAAATATTTTTCACATAAACATATGAGATCTAGTAAGTTTAATTAAATCTTAATGATCGAAACTTAAGTCTTACCTTAGATCGAAGAGAATTGATAAATGATGACATATTTCACACTTGACATCTTCAAGTACATTCAGTATGGATTTATGACCATGCGATCCATTACACAAATTCTATAGCATTAACATATTCACTTGTTCCCCAGTATCAACAAGACACTCATTGAGCTGAGCAATAAAATATTGTTTTTGAATCTAGCAAAAAAAAGATTAAGTAAATTCATAAAAAATGTATCTTAAGAACAAAATCTCAAATAGAAGTACCTCAAAATCTCTGAATGAGGGAGAATATGACTTGAAGTGTTTCCAGACATCATCTACAAAGCTTGAAATGGTTTCTCTAAACCCAGTCACAGAGACTATCATCTTGTCTTGATCAAAGATAATGTATGATACAATACCACCTTGAAGACCCTGAAAGTAATAGAACATTGTCAAATTGTTATCTTCTATAAAATATAAATAAATATGAAAATTGATGAAACTTACCTCGTGAGATCCATAGAATCTTTTAATAGATGTCCAAAAAGCAATAAATTGGCTTGACTTCCAACCTTAGGATCTATGCCGAATATAACTGAGAAGTTAAATGTTGGAAGATCATTTGACTCCCAATGATTAAGTCTCATAACATAATTAACTTCCTCATAGCCATCATCAGAGGAGTCATCGTCGCAATCATCATAAGAGTCATTGCCGCAATCATCAGAGGATTCATTTCCGAAATCATCAAAGGATTCATTGCCGCAATCATCACAGTTGTAATCGACACCATTAAAGGTTTCATCGTCATCATCAAAGGTGTGATCATCATCAGAGTTGTAGACATGAATAAACTTGTTCTTCATTGGCAGCTTAAAATCAAGGTTAAGATCAGCAAAATTAACCAACCTCTTTTGCCAATGATATGGAATATCCTCTAATATGTAGTGGATGTGCACAAAAAAAGTACTGGATGTTAAACCAAGGTTCAACCATTGTTGTCAAATTTGTAGACAAAGATCAATATATTAAAATTAACATAAGGAAAATATAAGTAACATAATGTGTTAGGTACTTTCTTTGAAAGACTTTGTTTGATAAAAAGACGGTCATATTTGACAAAATGAAATATGCAACAAGTGTTTTGATAGATTCCTTCAAATCAGTTTCAATGACAAAATCACCCGAGAGAGCTTTCTCCACGGGATAGTAAAGAAGGTTAACTATGATTAAAACACAAAGTATTAGGGAAAACAAGATATAACATTATTCAAAGTATAATAACCAGAGAGACAGGCCTGCAAGCCACTGAACAAAGGAAAACGTTCTTGACCCAATATCATTTTCATCAAAAGATTCAAACCTCAATCTCTGAAGCGGTTGGTAATCATCCATTACCAAAGCAGAATAGAAATCTTCCAACAAGTTAAGGAAATGTAGTACCATCTCAATTATCTTGTAAATCTGTAAAATAGGATATGTGTTTAATTGGAATTTTGAATACAATACTTAACAATTAGAACTACGTGTTTAATCCCACGTCTTGAGAGTTCTAAAGAAATGGTGAACAGACAGCCCAATGATGTGCAATCATAAGCTCCAACAACTTCACCGTCATTCCCACTAATCACTTCTAGGAAATTCACCCAACCATTCTCTTTAAAAAAAAAAAAGAGAAGAGTGAACCTTTGCCACCAGACAAAAAAAACAATATTAAAAGATAAAAATGTAAAGAAGGAAATAAATGGGAAATACTTACGATTTTCCAACTCTATTTGTAGATAAACTTCAGGTTTATGTGGATCAAAGGACTTTAGAAGAACTCTCCAAATAAGTTGGAGACAACATCTCCCATTGCCTTTAAGCGTACAAGTTGTCCAGGAGTCCAAATTGGACTATTTAGGTCGACATCGGCTCCAATTTTCCTCTTGGATCTACGCTTAATGGGAGAGAAAAACTTTGTAACCAGAGGTTGAAGTTTCTCAAATGATTCTACAATTATAAACTTTAATCTAAATGGAAACAAAGTAAGTTAAATGAAAAAGTCATTAAGTTCAAAATTTACCTCGACACAAGACAACAAGGTACATAGACCCTCCAACAAAGAAAGTTCAGAGAAAAATTAAGATCACATTTGATGCACAGGTACAATTGAATTTTAGAATTACAGTCAGATTAAACTTGGTAACATATAATGGACAAAAGAACATAGTTCATGTATATGTCTAAAGAAGCACACACCAACTGATTCAATAGCCGAATACTAACAAATAACAGAGAGAAAAAAAGAGGTGTTTTTCGGTTAATATCTGCAGGCCTAGTTTGGCATTCTCTAGTTGCATACATGGTTTAAGTTCATTGTGATAAAGACATGAATACATGCATGGTCAAACCGTCGATTCTTCTACCACATCCAACTTTTAAGAATTAGGTCATGATGTGTATTTTGTGTTGCATGATACTTGTTCAGGAGATAAGACATGTCATGTCACACTAGGACATATTCGTTGCTTAACATATTAGCTTTTACGGAATCAAATATTAAGTGGAGAAAGAATAACTCAAAGCAAGAGAAAAAGAATATAAACTTACATTACCATACAAAAAGCTTTGTCCATATCCCTTTTCTGTAACAAGCAAAGACACCATTTATTAAGCTATGGACAACTCCAGAAATGGCTTTTCTCATGTTCCAAATCAATCTAATAGATATGACTCGGATACAAGATCATCAGGTTGGCGAAGAAGGCCTGCTTTCTCTTTACAGAACCCTTGGTTCAGGACTGGTTCGGTCAGTAGCTTTATCTTTTCATCATATACATGTTAATGTATTAGTCTCTTGATGTTTTGGTGTTCTCTTTCAGATAGTTAATAGGCGATTTCTCGATGATTCTCCATCTGCTTACTCATCAACTGTGTACTTATTAATCAATTCATTATCATCTGATACTCTTTTGATTTTGTTTCCAAGATTTTGCATACTATTAAGGATTTTAAAGCTGTTGTTCTTGACAGAGATTCAATACCTGCACCGTCACCTACTACTCCACATCAGGTTCCAATCCGAACCAGCAGCAACGTTCGGAGGCAGCACCTAGAGGCACTAAGGCAAGCCGTACACAACCGACATGATAATACTAGACACGAGAGAAACTCAAGATCAGCAGCAGCACCACCACAAGCCAAAGAAGAAGAAGATGTCTTGAAGTATCTAACAAAAGAGACATACAACCCTGTCCGAAAAAGCCAGCTTCTCAGAAACCTTAGCTTATACTACAAAAACAAGAACTCGGGCCTAGAAAGCTCAAGAAACCCTCAAGGTTACTCAGGAGGAGAAGACGGGAAGAGATGCGCAGTGTGTTTAGAAGACTTCGAGGCCAAGGAAACAGTGATGCTCACTCCATGCAAACATATGTTCCATGAGGAATGTATAGTTCCGTGGTTAAAGACCAAAGGACAGTGTCCTGTCTGTAGATTCGTCATTCTCAAGCCGACAAGACAAGAATCTTCTCCAGGTATTAGTAGCCCTGATCTCGCCGGAGAGATGACAGTGAACGATCTTTTCACATTACAGCTTATCTCTATGGTACAAGCGATGGAAGAAACTTTCCTCTTTGGGTATCATCATCGCCATTAGAATATCATAACTTTGACATATCTTTGTTGTACCCCCTCTTTTTATTAAGAAAACACTTTATAATATAATAATAAATACATTATATATAATTATTTTTAAATAATTTTACACTAATAATAATTTAATTAATTTATAAAACTTCAAAATTTTATTCTTAGATAAGTTTTTAAAAACATTTATTAGAAAGAGTTAACTTATTACTCAGAGATTATAAATGAATCATATGATATCCACTATTAATACACCTTTACAGTAGAAAATAAAAAAGTTTCTTTTTTGGATTTTGGCTAATAAAACTATATACTAAACTTCAAACTTTTATTTTTCAAATGGAGTTTTTTTTTTAAAAAACATTTATCAGAAAGAGTATTAATTTATTACTTATAGATTTTAATGAATCATATGAATCCACCATTAATACACCTTTACAGTGGAAAATAAAAAGTTTCTTTTTTTAGATTTTTAGAATTATTCAACTTCAAAAAATTATTTTTCATATAGGCTAACAAAATTATATATTCAACTTCAAAAAATTATTTTTCATATAGAGTTTTTAAAAAAAAAACATTTATTAAAAAGAGTATTAATTTATTACTTATAGATTTTAAATGAATCATATGAATCCACCATTGATACAACTTTACAGTGGAAAATAAAAAGTTTCCTTTTTTAGATTTTTGGCTACACACACAACTCATCTAGAACTATCACAGAAAGTAACGGCACCAAAATGTTCCCCCTCCGTAGCCACAGTTCCACGGCGGAACACGGAGGCGCAGTCCGGCAAGTCACCAAGATCACCAAACAGTGACTCATCCTCCTCTTCTCCTACTGAAAAGCCTCTCTCTAGTGTTAAGCTGCCACCGTAAGAAGAACCGGAAGATGATGAGATGGAAGCGTCGTAGAACCACCCGAACTCGGGTAGTTCACTGTAGCAGCCACCTAAGAGAAGAGGAGAGTCCACGTGGCTTAGGTCTAGTCCTGCAGGCTCCTCGGCAACAACTGTTGCTTCTTCTTCTTCTTCCTCTTCGTCTTCTTCTATGTTCTCCTCTTTCTTGGCGGTTTTGAGGAGGATGGTGTTGGTTCGGTGGTGAGATTTGTTGTTAGTGGCGGAGGGGAAAGGGTGGTTATGGTCGCAGGCGTATGTTATCATGAGCTTTGAGGGGTCCACACGACTTCTCTCCACCTGCTTCCTTGCCGGACATCCTTTTGAACTACTACATCTGTAATAACCCCTGAGAGATATCCACCAAACACAACAAAAAGTGATTAACTTTAACTTTTTCAAGCAAAATTAAATTAAAATTAAGTTGCAATTTTTTTCTTGATAATGATGAATACTACATTAAACTCACCCAAAAATAAAGAAGAATATAATATTTTGCGCACGTGAATCACGCACATATATGTAAAATGCTTTTTTTTTTCCTTTTTGTGCGCATTACCCTTTGTGATTAGAATCAAGATCTAAAGCTACTTTAATATTTTCATCTTCTCCAATGTTATTTATTACTCAAGTAAAGCAAATCTCATAAGATAATTTAGTTTAACTAATGACTCATCTAATTGCTTCATACTAATACAAAAAAATAACTAAAGAGAGAAGAATAAAGGAACTGGCGCGTGAATAAAACGCGACACCAGACGCGTATGTTTTGTAATAAACTCAATGAGGTGCGTATGTTAGCCCAACCACCGTGGAGACTAACGTACGCTGAAAACCAGCCGCCACTGGTGAAAAAAAGAGGAGAAAACGGTAAAGTTTTTTACCTAGGGTAAGGCGAGCCTTTGATCGGTTTTTGACCGTACTTTCTCCAGGCCCAGGAATCGGACGGTGGATATACCTCTCCTCTACTCTTAGATCCTTCCACGTCAGCAATCGGAACCGACACAACTCTCTTCTCCATGTTCCTCCTACTAACACAAAATCATTACATTTTCAGACCAAAACTCATAATAATTTTGTAACAATTTCGTAATAAATTAGAACAAAACCTCTTCTTCGGAGTTGGTTTTGAGATCTTGGAGTCTTCGCACGAAGAAGGAGAGTCCGGAACGACGTCGTTGTATGTCTCATCTTCTTCGTCGGATTCTTGAATTCCTCTACGGTGCATGATTTGAATATTGATACCGTCCGAGACAGAGAACCTACGATGTTTTTTTTTTTCTGTTGGGGGAGAGGGTGATTAAGAAGGTGATTAGTGAGAGGGTTTTAATCAAATCTGATGTGGTTATTATTCTCGACTTGTTTTTTTGGGACGTGCAGGCAAATATCAAAAGGGATTTATATTGTTATTATATTTGTTGGTATTTTATTTGAATAGAATATTTACTAGTTGTTTGAAAGGTTCTCTCGTGGTATGTTATTTTATTTATGCCTATGAGGTTTGCTAATCAAATTATTTGTTTAATTAGCTGGACATTTTGATTAAGTCCATGCATACATAAGCAAGCAAATCTGTATTATAATTATATTAATCCGCGTCTGATCTATATAGACTGTGATCTAATTATATTTTGCTGTCCATGTAATGAAATAGGAAAATTATATATGTACACACATATACTCGTTTTTGTAATATCAGAAATGAAGGTAACTACAACCCCTCTAACTCTAATTAATTAAAATAAAAGAGCCTCCAAATCTAAGATGTTATCGAACTTTATAATGCTGAATTCGTTATTCGTTATGAATTAGATTAAGCTGAAACTATCAATTCTTACGTGAGATCTTTAAGCTGTCTAATGAATCCGATTAGTCTGTTTATGACTCTTTAAACTATGAGTTGATTTGGTCCGTTTCAATCTCCCAGAATGTTGAGAACTCGACATAAATATTCTTTGTATATACAAAATCCAACTTATTAGTTTGTGTTTAGTAACTAATTTTATAGGTATATGATCTATCTATTTAGATTATTTTCTTCATCTGTTGAATGTTCTTTTAGGTTATATTTGTGTAGTTAATATATATATTATACCCTCCCAAAATCTTATAAACTCGGTTGGCTTCAATGTTTTATATTATCCCCTCCCAAAGTAATTTACGCAAACTGAATTTGCACAGAAAAGATATATACATCAAAAGCTATAACCGCATATAATAGTATAGTATAACAAACTCAAATGAGATGTGGTTTGAAACTTTGAATCCAATGAGTCAAGAACCCACCAGCTAAAAACGTGTTATAAATTTCATATCACATAAGAACAAAAAAAGGTAACAAACAATACTAACATATGGAAAACATGGAATAGTTCACTTGTTATCAATTAGCTTAGGTTATATAAAGTTATATAAACTGATGAAGCTCACAAAAGAAAAACAACTAATTAATATAACTCGTAGACGCAATCATTTGTTTGCTTTTATGTTTTTGGTCGAACCATCCTCCGGAAAGAGGTAATAAGATCTTAACCAAAAGGTGTAGAGAGTGTGACATGGACCCTTTCTATGACAAATATAGATGTAGTTTAAGATTGACACATCTGATAATGTTTAGTTGTGGAATTTGGCTTAGATAAAAAGCTGCAACTCATGTGGGATAAAAGAGAAAAGGATAACGTAAAACATATAGAGTCTAGTGACTCCAGACAAAATGGCTTACTATTTTTTTTTGTATAAATATGTACAGAGTATTGGGCTGGAAATGGCTTATTATAGATCAAGTCAAGATTCCTTCCAGTCATTTAATTAAAATTATAAATCAAACTTATTAGTTTAATTACTCCATTATTGTCCCCAACTACTATCACAACTTTTTTCCTCGTTGTATATGTTTTTCAATTAAAGTATATATATGCAACGCTTGTTTACACACATATATGTATATGTTTGATCTGGTCATTTCTGTTCATGATAGTTAGTGTCGAACCAATCAATAATTTGCTCGAATCTGATGCAATTTATAATTGACTATTAAACATGATTGGATAATGTTTTTGATGTGTTGCTATATTTTAATGTACAAGGTAATTTACAGTCGACACGTCGTGTAAAGTATTTAAATAGACGCTTAGTCAAAGATTCTTTTGATAAATAATGCAAGTAAAAACGCGTTTTGGCGTTAGATAAATAATTTCACGTAGTTTTAAGCGTTAAACCAAAATCTAATCCATGAAACATTATAGATAAGCAATGATATTCAAATGTCTGGATAACGAAGTAAAACAAAACTGAGAAAACACACAATTCGACCAGAGAAAAACAAACAAACATACGACTATGGATCTCTGTTTGTGAATTAAGACTAATGTTTTTTTTTAGCCAGTAATGTTCTGAGACTTGTTGAGAATGACTCCTTCGTATTTAACTTGGAACCATTTCATGGCATCATCTTTGGTGACTCTGTGCTGGATTCCAACACGAGCCTTGCATCTTCTGCGACGTGCCACACGGTAACCTGGACGCTCAAGAACAACATAGAAGTCCATACCGTAGATTCCGGTAGATGGGTCATACCTAAAGATGGAATCAATCAAAAGTCAAAAACCATTCAAGTGACTGACAACAAAACAGCCATTTTAAGTTGTTTTAGACTTACTTGATACCCAAATCAATGTGCTCCTGAATACCGAAACCGAAGCAACCAGTGTCGCTAAAGTTTCTTCTCAAGAGTTCATACTCTTTAACCTTGAGTCCACTTTCAAGGAGTTGCATTGCCTTATCTCCCCTGACGGTAACATAGCAAGCAATCTTCTCGTTACGTCTGATACCGAAAGAACGAACAGTGTATCTTGCTGCAAAAAGAGATTACAACAAACTCAGAACCCTACTCTACAGGACAAAAGCAAGTAACTTTAACATATACAACGATTCTTAGCTATTGAATTCTACAAAAGTATCAGTATAAACCAATACTAAGCTATTGAATTCTACAAAAGTATCAGTATAAACCAATACTAGTGTTCCAAAAATCAATCTATGCAGCAAATTCGAAATAAACTAAACGATTTTTCTCAACTTCGAAATAAACTAAATGATTTTCTTATGAGTTTTTAAAATCGGTCTAAGCTTTAGGTCTAAAGGGGCCAGCATAATCAATAATCTCTATAAAATTCCTAATTAATAATTTAATATATAAAAATGATTGTTAGCTACTGAACCCAGAAAAATCAATATAAACCAGGGTTCTTAAAATCGGTCTATACAACGAATTTGACATACAAAATAATTTTTCTTGATAAGTAATAATCCTCTCCTAGTAATTTCTTGACTAAACAAAATACATAAGTAATAATCCTCTCCTAGAGTAATAATCCTCTCCTAGTAATTTCTTGACTAATCAAAATACATAACCATAATCTCTAACTCAGTTTCATAGACTCGTTGCTTGTCCTAAACACCACAAAACTCATTACACTACACTTTTATGTTCCAAAAACATTCCTCAAGAATGAACTAAAGGAAACTGATTCAACTAGTTGCTTGTCCTAAACATCACAAAACTCATTACACAACACATTACTTAAGAATGAAGTAGAGAAAACTAATTCAACTAGTGTGAAAGCTCACTCACCTTTGGAAAAAACAGGAGTCTGTCCACTCAACTGTTCCAACACCTTAGAAGCTCTGGTGAGACGATCTCCACTCTCTCCGACAGAGATGTTAAGAACCAGCTTCTGCACTTTGATATCCCTCATCGGGTTCGATAGCTTCTTCTCCGACGCCTGATTCAACCACCAAGAACAAAAAAAAACATCACTACATCTTTACTCTAAACATGAAAACGCATAACAATGAACAGTAAGTAAGTGCGACGGACCATTTGAGATTCGGGTTGCGAGGAGACTTCGGCGGGTCGGTAAAAGCTAGGAATCGAAAGAGAAAACGGAGACGCCGCGCGGTGAAGTATATAAACCCTAGCGTCTGTCTCTAGGGTTCTAAGCAAATTTTACGAGTATTGAAATGACGATTCTACCCTCGAATCCCACGTTCCCCTCACGTGGTTCCTAAATTTTTTCGATTTCGGTTATATCCCCGGTTTGAGTCAGATATATACTAGTGGGCTTGGACTTGTATCCCAAATAGGTCATAGATCATAAAATCTAAAATAAATTATTCTATGTATTATCATATCAGCTCATGGGTTTTGAAAATCCAAACTAAATTTAATGCTATCCCTTTTGTAATTTTGAAAATATAAATTAAAATTATGTGTTACTTTTTATGATTTATAAATTTTATTTGAATCATATGTATAGCTTTATTAATAAAACTTTACAATAAATTTGAGTGGATTTAAAATATTTCTTTTCTGAAATTCAAAACACAAATTCGAAAGATATTTAAATTGTAAATATTAACTAAAAACTTAAAAGTGACTACAGTATTTGAGAGAACCACCCTTTAGAAATCAGTAAATTTATTTAAATTTGAAAATTATATGAATTTCTAAATTAATTAAAATGCATCAACAAATACACACTAGTTATATTTGGAAATGATAACTGACAACTGATAGTTCCATTATTGATCACTCAAAAAACTTGTACATCACAAATCCCATACTACATAAAAACTAAAAAAAGTTTCACATTTATTACTTCTGTGATTTACTGAGAACCGACGGTTGAATCAGGAGACCGAGCCAAGCTAAAGCTACTAGAGCAGCCACTAAGCTTTGCAGCTGACTTACGACTCCTCACTAGTGGAACCAGTGACTGCACCACGTCAGCCATCAACGGTCTGTAATCAGCTTCTGCTTGAACACACATTGCTGCTATAGCTGCAACCTGAACAACCTCTTTGGTTGAGTACTGTCCTTCTAGTGTTGGATCCATTATGTCCATCACTTTGTCTCTATCACCCAATTGAGGCAAGGCCTGGTAATAATAAAAAATTAGAGTCAAAAAGAAGAAACCAAATGTTGATTAGTTAAAGGAAACGTACCCAAGAAACAAGAACTCCTTCTCCACTTGCTCTCTTCATATCTACTGGAACTCTCCCGGTTAATAACTCTAACAGGACAATACCGTAGCTATACACATCTGACTTTGTAGTCAAGTGACCTGTTAAAGCATACTCAGGAGCAACGTATCCTTGTGTGCCTAAGACACGTGTGGAAACGTGTCCACCAGCTTTATCTGATCCAACTTTAGCCAATCCGAAGTCTGAGACTTTGGCGTGGAAGTTTCTGTCAAGGAGAATGTTGCTGCTCTTGAAGTCTCTGTGAATCACTGGTGGTGTTACTTGCTCATGGAGATACTCCAAGCCTTTTGCAGCTTCCAGAGCTATTCTCATCCGAGTTTCCCAGTCTAATCTCAATGGTAAAGAACCAGACCCTATGCAATAACAACATACAGATTACAGACAGCTCTATATCGAATCCAAGAAGAGTTCCACAACTTGCTAATGCTACTGTAATAAGAAACTTAACTATTAGTAGGAAAGAGGTGTTCCTGCAAACCACCATTGGCCATGAACTCATACACAAGCAATTTGTGACTATTGTCTGAACAATAACCAAGAAGTGCCAGCAAGTAAGGTGAACAGAGACGGCTCAGTAACTCAACCTGTTATACACATTGATCAATCAAAACTCTGCACACAGTAGATGTAAAAAGCTAAATAAAAATCTAAAAAGCTCAAATAAAACAAGAACAACCTCCATCTTGAACTCATCTTCCCCTTGCTTCCCTGCATTATCCATAAACTTGATAGCAACTTTTCTCCCATCGTTAAGCACACCACGATAAACCAAACCAAACCCACCGTGACCAACCACATTAGACTTGCTGAATCCACCTGTAGCTGAATGTAGTTGCTTGAAAGTGAAAATCTGCAGCCCACTGTCAGTAACTTCTTTTTGACTTTGACAATCTCCTTTCTCCTCGCAGTTAAACTCTATTTACACAAGTTAAACCAGAATATTAAAAATCAAACCCTAATTAGAAAATCATTCTCCTAAACATTTGTCACCAAAATCTCAAAATAATCTTAATTTAGTAACAAATATTCAGTATCCAGCAAAGAGGGCATAAGAATAAGAACAGTCTCCTCGCAGTTAAACTCTATAAGACAGTTAAAAAACACAGAACACTATAAATCAAACCCTAATTAGAAACATTTGTCACCAAAAAAATAATCTTAATTTAGTAACAAATATTCAATATCCAGTAAAAGCAGAGGAGGGCCAATGAGTAAGAACAGTCTTTTTATAAAGAAGAAGAAGTTCTTGTCTGAATTAGAACATACTCTTGTTGATTCTGTGACGCTTGGAGACTTTGTTACGAATATAGCAGTAGTAGCTAAAGGCAACGAACAAAGAACTTAAAGCAAGACAAGCAAGAACGACAATGGTTACAAGTGCTGCTCGTTCTTTCCTCTGGTACGCTTCCTCTGTCTCCATCTGAGCTTTAACTGTTTCCAGAAATGGAAAAGACGAGAAAATGTGGAAACCCTAGAAGGAGGAGGACGAGATTGAGAACAGTAGAGGGAAATAAAACTTTAAAGCTTCGGACTTTGTGTAATTTTGTTTTTTTTGTGTGTGCTTGTGTGTGTTTGTGTGAGTGTGAATGTCAGCTTCACTGTCTCGCTGTTTTGCATTGTGTTTCGCGACGCGGAGAATACTTGTATTTACCGGAACTTGACAAATTTGACCATTTATTTTATTTCTGTACAATTCAGACCCCAAGAGTCGTTACTGTCTGGTCCAGAAATCTATGATAAATGGATTCAAAAATGGATTCACAATATACGAGTAATTTTGAGATTAGCAGGTTTATTTTTTTCATAAAATTTGATCCGGCAACCAAGATTTTGGTAGTAGATTTGGTTAAGTAACAAGTTGAATCCACATGATTGATGATGATGATGCAAAGAGAACAAAGGGATTATTTATAATGACAAAAGGTTCCAAACAGCTTTTGTTTCGTTCTTACACCATAAAAGAGTTCATCACAGAGCGAGATACTAAACCATAGTTTATGAACTGGAGACAGAACCGTGATTAGAGTTTTTAACTTTGAAGGAGGTTTTGTTATTACTTCTTTCCACGGAGTTTAGCTCCAAGTGCTCTCTCCAGCTTAGAAAGGATCTGCTGATTCGGTATTGCTTTCCCAGACTCGTATTCTTGGATCACTTGTGGCTTCTCATTGATCAGCTACACAACCAACACATTCATATTACCATCATGAATCCAAATTACAAACAAAATAAAACAAGAGACAGAGTGAAGAGGAAGTACCTGAGCGAGTTGGGACTGGGTCAGCTTCTTCTCCCCTCGGGCTTGCATTATGGCTTTCTTCAACTCAGTAGGCACACGCTCATCTGATTTTTTTTAATAAAACCCACACACATAATGAACAAGGTGTGTTAATAGGGACAACAACTATACTAATCAATCAATCAAACACACGGTGTTCTTGACATTCATCTAAGAACAAAGACGAATTGCTCTCACTAAAAACGCAACAAGACTCTAACTCTCTAAGTAATATACCTTATTCTTACTGGAATGAGAAACTAGCAATCACACACTTAAGAATCACTGTGCTTTAACAAAGACTTCCTCTTTACTTAAATTGCAAAAAGAAAGAAACTTTAATAGCCAAAAGAATACAGTCTAAGAATTACCCTTATTAGACAGAGACATGAGGACATTTTAACAGCAAAAAAATTAGCTTTTGAGCTCTTCGCAACCATCTAAGTTCACACAACTAGAATCACTATATTTACAAAATACATAAAGACACAACAAAAGTTTATATCTCCACACTCCACAGAGAGATATGAAGTCAATATTAATTCACTGTTAATGAGATTGAGAAAAAGAAACTCACGAGCTAAGTTCTCAGTGTCATCATCAAGCCTCTTTGTGTTCAAGGAAGTGCTGCTCGAAGCCGCCTTGTTTGTTGCCGCATTGACTAAAACGCAAAAAAAAAAAAAAAATCACACGGAAGAAAACAATTAATTTTACATATTTCCTATATAAAAACACAATTAACTATACACCTAACCACATTTTAACCAATAGAAAAATAAATTACATAATAAAATAAATAAATTTTGCATTAAAAACGGACACTTATTTTGTAAAAAGAAATTTATATTAAACGGAGGGAATACCAAACATGATTCAAACAATAATTAATTAACAAAACATCTAAACTAATTGTTTTACTGCTACAAACATTAATTAAAAACACACAACAAACCAAAACCCTAACACAATACAATCCAGTGGAATAACCCTAACCATATGGAAACTAAATACAATCGATTCAATGGCCAAATCTAAACCCTAAAAACTTATCTATACGAATCAAAAGATTGAGGATCGACGGAGAAGAAGAAGAAAGGAAAACAAACATTTTCTGACGGATTCGATTTCGGCGCCGCTACGACGAGCAGCGTTGACAGTCTTCTCGTCGCGCTTAGCCGCGGAGTTGGGAGCTTTCTTACGGATAACCACTGGTTCCCAATCCTGAGTCATCGGTCCAACACCTGCCATGCTTTCGCTTCTTTCTTTCTGTCGAGGTTTTCTTCAGAGATGGGACAAAGATCGAATATTGTTATTAGACCAAAGCCGTGTTCGTTTTTTTGTTTTTATATATTTTAGATTTTTTTTTCAGAGGGGGTTGATTAGTAAATAGTCAATATCGACGGGTTCTTTAGTACAATAATTATCTTTTAATTAATAATCCAGCATAACATCGAATTTAATATTTGTGTAAGCTCCTTAATCAATATTTGATTAAAATTTTAATAATGTTTTCAAGGCTAACAATTTTTCTATCTAAATTAATAAATTTCAAAATATAATCTATACACAATTATGTAACTGAATTTAAAAATAAAAACAATCTGAAAATAGCTTATTTTTTCATAAAATTATTTATTACAATAGTAATAAAATCAAATGTATATATATTATCACTTGTAAAACTATAGATCTAATTTATTTACTAAATGTATAAAAAGTATTTGATCAGTTGTTTTTAAGTCAAAATCTCTTGTTTTTCAAATAATTAATTTTAAAAGAAACATGTTCAGATTTTATAGCCTTAAATATGTAGATTGTGTTTTGTTAATCATAACACAACTGGCAAAAGTTATGTATATTCTTGCCATTTTAAAAATTAAATACTGAGAAATTAACACATTATTTGTTAAGAAATGAAGATGGTGGTTGGGACATATCCGGGAAATGGACCAGACCACATCAGTTCCACTTCAGTATCCATATCAGGCGGCCAAGCATCAGTCACTATCCTCCCTTGTATTTATCCATATGTTGTAGTTATCCTAATCATTATAGGATTAGGATAATCATCCCCTTTATTGTTGTAATCCTTATCTCCTAAGGAATATGCTTTATTCTCATGTATATATATATGTGTATGTACCACGAGATTAATAAGAGATACACACAAGTTACAATAACTTCTTTATTCCACAACACGTTATCAGCACGAGTCTCTACCCTAAGCAAAAACCCTAATTCCGCCGCCACTTCAAAACGCCGTATCTCTCTAACCACGAAGCTCCAGACGACGATCCACCTATCAATCTGTAGCTCTTGAAGAGAAGAATCCACCTGTTCAAACAGATCATCAATCCGACACCGGAGTCATCCGAAATCACCAAAACAATACGGCGGGCTAAAATCTCCCTTTTCCAATCCGGAAACCCTAGAGATTTTCTCTCTTACTAAGACACTTTACACCTTACTTCTTCCTCAATTTGTTACATTATTTTGAAGAAGAAAACTGTTGCTAACTCTTACTTTGCAGGTGTGTGTAAAGCTCTAGCTAAAGATTGAAAATCCATAGCTCTCTCTCTCTCTCTTGGCGGCTGCAGAAAACCCTAATCCCTGCAGCAACTTCAAATTGATGTATCTCCCAAACTACGAGGAACTAGACGGCGATCTACATATCAATTTGAAGCTCTTGAAGAGAGGAATCCAGCAGTTCAAAAATCGCGTCAATCAGACACCGGAATCAACCGCAATCACCAAAACAAGACGGCGGCTAAATTTCTGTTTTTCCAATCCGGGAAACCCTAGAAACTTCTCTCTTACTCAAACGCTTTTCACCTTACTTCTTCATCAATTTATTACGTTATTTTGAAGAAGAAATCTGTTGCTAACTCTTACTTTGCAGGTGTAAAGCCTTAGCTAAAGGATTAAAGGTGATTCGATCTCTCTCTCTCCTAAGATCCAAACCGGTTTTGCCCTAAAGGAGGTCCATTCAGATCTTTGGTGATTTTGTGGTACAATTCTTAAACCCTAAAACATAGATCTCGTCCCCCACATTAATCTATGGTAAATCTGGTGTTTAAGAACTCATACTTGATCCCCTTAAAGCCTAACTTATGCACATGACACAAACTTGTACTCATGAGCAAAAGTTAACCTAAAAACCCTAACTTATGAACCCGAAATCTTTGCTTGCTATAATTCGTTTGCTTGCTTATTTTTATCAAGTTAATTATGTTGAATGGTTTAGGAATTCACCTTGATAGATTTCGTGTTTTGAGTTTGAGCAAATTGATAATCTAAAACCCTAGATAGCTAAGACATAAAACCGGTTTGTTTTGTCTCTCTATAGGATCGATTTGTTATTGGTTGTTTTGATTGGTCCAATTCGTTTTTGCTGCACTAGATCTATTAATCACTTGCTGAAATTGATCATCCTGGGACTATGTGTTTGTTTGATCATTGAATTAATTAGATCTGAGGTTTAGAAAGTTGTTTAACCTAAACCCTAATTTGCGCATTAACCTAAAATCCGACTTGCATAAAACCTAGCTATAACTTGGATGTTTTCGTGTTTTAAATTTGTTTTAGCATGTTAATATGAACTATCTGATTGCTTATGTCATTGAGGTCGAATGCTAGATTCATAGGTTGCTTGAATCAAATTGATAGTTTGCTAAAACCCTAATACACATGAATTGGTATTGAAATTGTTAAAAACCCTAGATCTGATCTTGCTAATTACACGACCTATGTCTGTTTTAATATACTAATATGATCCATCTAGATGTCTTTAACATTGAGTTTGAATGCTAGGCTGATTGGCTGAATGGTTGAATTGATTAAAATTGCTAAAACCCTAGTTATTTTCTATGCGCATGAACACATCTAAGTTGCTTAAATTGTTAGATCTGTTCCTGATACTTTTGCACGACCTAGGCTGGTTCTAGAATGATAATATGATCTATCTAGTTGTGTTTAAAATTAAAAACGAGTGCTAGGTTCATTGGTTTTCATGGTTGAATGATTTGTTTTGTTAAAACCCTATGCGCATGAACCCTAAATTCCGAGTTGCTTAGATCTCTAACCTAAAATTGAAATTCTTATGATCTTTGCTTGATATTTGATGATCTCATGAACCTGTTGATTGCTTGTAATGTGTACTTGCTTGGTTGCATGATTCGGAATTTTAAAAAGTTTTGAAAACCCTAGTTTGGTCATAATCCTATTAGGTTTAGGAATTGCACTAAAATCCTATTTGACTTAGGACTTGCACTAAAATAAATCCGACCACCTTTTAACATGTCTTGCTAATTTAAATATGGAAACTGAGATACCTGAGACTATGTGGTTGTTTGCTAAATTTATTTTAGAACCAAACTTGATGAATTGTTTGAAAACCCTAGTTTTTGATATTCCTAATCCAACTAGGTTTAGGTTTTGTTCTAAAAATAAAATCGACCTAACCTGATAAGTCTTGATAGTTTATAAGGTAAAACTGATCATCCTGAGACTATGTGTTGATTGAATGGATTTTTAGAAGCAAAACCTTTGCATTCAAATTTTTCAAACTTTGAAACCCTAAAACCTATTTTAAAAGGATCCGATTTCTTGGAAGCTTGCAATGCTTGGTTTTTATTTATTTTTTCCATGCTTGCTTGATCATCTGGCTATGTTATATGTATAAGAAATCTAATGCTAGGACGAAATTGGATATTTTGGGTTCTAATTAATTTTTAAAACCGGATCATATGATAAGATGGATTGTTGAATGTTAATGCTTAACAATAATGTGCAAACCTTGCTTGCTTTCATATGACCATATAGAACTCATGTACTAGGTTGCTTGCATCATAATCCATGGATTTTGTTTGCTTGAACCTAATGTGGTCCAATTTATTTATGGTCTAATATTATAGAATTCTATGGTTACTAGAATTGCTAAAATCATTTGGTTGATTGATATTGCAATCATGGTGTATTGCTTGACCATGCTGGTTAGATCTCGACCACTTATAAGTTCTCACACCTTGGGTGTCATGATATGGTCGAGATCATTAAGGAACCATACACTTAAATTGCTTGTTTGGGACTTGCAAATTTTATGAGAACTAAAATCTGGTTGGTAAAACAATTTCAGATTTGGAAGTGGGATGTCATAGAATACAATCTTCTTGACACATCTGGTGATAATTATGTTGAGTGGGAAATGCACACAAAAAACTTACCTTAAGTCAAAGGGACTTGGAAGGTGCATCACGGATGGCAGCCATGAAAGCCTACATGGACAACATGGCCGGCTCAGACTATGGTCAGGAGGAGTCTAATGTACTCGACCATGAGGAGTCTCAAGCACTCAACTCAAAGGAGTCTGAAATTGTTGACCATGGGGAGATTGAAACACTCAACCCAAAGGGGTCTCAAACATCCGACCAGAGGAAGTCACCTAAACATGAAAAGGAGGAATCCAAAAAGCCTTCATGGACACATGTGGAATGTGGGGCCGGTTTATACCTTGATTAAGGATATAAATTTTCTGTTTTTGGTGTTAAGCTTTATGCTTTGTTTTGATTTTCTTTTAAGTCATTCACACATTCACTTATGATAATGAAAAGGTTTTAAATTCATTTATCTTGCCTGGTTTTGTTTGGTACATGTGAATGACATTTATTGGTAAACAAAAGGGCCAAACATGAGTACATATGATGGGTATGTGGTCGCCTAGTTGGTATCTATGGCTGAGGCATTGCCTAAATGGCATGGAATACACCCAAAATTTCGTGGTCCATTGAGTATATAATGATAGTTTCCAAGGATAAAGCAATGGACACAAAAGAAAACAAGTGGGTTTTCTCGAAATTTTAAAATTGCCTAAGTATTGAAATGGTCAATACTTTACCCTATGTACTATACTGATCTAAAACTATGCTAGAAGATCAGTGGCAAGTGTGATGGTAACTAGTAGATTACCCACGGAATTTTAACACTATATGGCATGATTGGATTAGCCATCCAATCCTTAACTTGATGCTACCTATACACCCACCTAGTGGGAGTTTAGGTATGGTACTACTCGAAATTAAAATGGCACAAAGAGTTTTCCATGGATGATCTCACATTGTGTAACATGTACACAAGGAAACTCTATAGGCTTTATTGTCCTAAGCACCATGAAAATAGGAGTATGTTCATGAGGGGGAGAAAAGGTTGAATCCCATGTTACATGAACTATACTAAACCGGGAACCATGGTCTATGACCATAGGTGGTTGGACAACTTTATAGGACATAAGGGTCCACGTCCATAATGCTTAGGAACAATCATAGCATACAAATAAAACTCCAAGAAATATTGTCCATGCCAAACCAACCATACTGGTCGGACCAAATTGTACTGGACAGGCCGAAGGAGGCTGGACGGGCCAGTAGGCCATTCGTGTCAGGGAAGCCGGGCGGGCCACGTTGGCCGCCTGTGAGCACAGAACCGAATGGGCCACATTGGCCGGAACTAGCCGAGTAAGGCCATATGCGGCCAACCTGGCCATCTCGACTAAAATAATAATCCGGGCCAAGTTTGTATGCATTTTATACATGTATAAAAGGTTATGCATCAGGCCATATGAGTGAGCATAGATATTCCCATTGATAAGGGTCATGGATCAGACATAAACAATCTTAAGAGATTTAAACCACCACAAGAAAATGTGCCATATAAGATGGAACCTCAAATGGGAACCTCAAATGAGGATTGAGGATTGGGAATGGGAATATATGTTGGATATTTATAAAGTCTTTCTCTTATAATAAACCTTGAGCCAAATATGGGTGATCAGGATATGGCTAGGTACATGGATTACATAAGGAAGTAAATCCAACTATCCAACATGGAAATGAGAAAGATATAAGCTGGATAAAACAATGGTATTAACCATTAGTGTCTTGGCAAGATCCTCGGACTAGAATATAACATTCTGGACGTCCATATGATATCAAGGAATGATACAAATGCTAGCAAAACTATATGCAAGACACATAGACCCAGAAATGAATGACTATGTCATACCAGCTTATGCACCACGAGTTTAATGTCCTAGGAGAGACATAATCAAGTTGCAATAAAGTCTAAAGGGTAGACTAATAAGTTCCAAAAGGAAGAAACCTCGGAAAAGGATATAAAAGGTGCATAGAATCCGAGTTCAAAGGAAACTAACCAGACATTAAGAAAAGGGCTGCGCAGCTAAACATCTAAGGTACCAGACCATGTAAGCTTGGGACGCCAAGATTGCAAGGCAGGAAAGGTCCTGGATAAATAAGATCTAAAAAGGATTAGATCATGTCTGAGTAAAATGGAACTATATGAGAGTGTTAACACCAGTGGTATAAGTGAGCTCATACAAGCAAATAGTACTTGAGATTTATGGAAATGGAATGAGGATCAGGAACCCATGAAAGAGTACTCATAGATCATAATCATAGATCATAATCATATATCATATATCATGGGGTTCAGAGTATATAAAATATGATGTGTGTATTGGCCATATTGGAACACCATCAACCAGTAAGGTCTTGTGAGTATATGAATCCCTGAGGAAAAGGTTAAAATGAACTCAGGGTATTCATGTTCTTACACGAGACATAGGAACATATTATGAGGAGATAAACTCCCAAGTGGTGGGTGCTACTAGTCAAATTCGAAATTGGCAAATGTCTGGTCAGAAGTTGACATATAATGAGGTAGTAAGTAGCATATGGTTCACTGGATTAATGGTTAAAGGAAAACCATGAAAATGAGAAAAGGAATTCTCAAGAACAGCATTGTTCCTAAGCTGTTCATGGACTGATATTATGCAGCTGCAAGTAATATGGAATACTAAGAAAATACTTAGTACAATCAGTCCATGTGTATTATACAAAAGGTGTATAGTAAACTAATCCATAGAAAGGATGGATGGTTCAGTGACTATGTCATTGGCATATGTGTTGAGATCAGCAATACCCAACTTCATAAGAAGTGGGCGTATGGAAAGGCTAAGGAAGCCGTATGGTCCATACCAAAGTTCATACCGACCAAGGCTAGGTCCGGATACATTCTAAGTCCAAATCATCCATGGGGAGATGGTTAATATGTTGGTTCAAAACGTGCTTATGAACTAGAGGTACTAAACTATCAAGGTGCATAGTTTAAAGGTCTTAAGGAACCAATGTAGTATAAACTATACCTATACATCACCACACATAAGCCATGTTGTTATGGCAACATTAGGCACTCATTGGCGAGTTGTAAAGACATGTGTGGGTAAGGTCCATGATCATAATGTACTTTGGTACGTGGCTTATTATAAGAAGGTCATGGGACACCATCAAAGGAAGTATGGTATGTGATGTTTAAGTACAAAGGTTATAGTGTGGGCCTTGAATGAAGGCACGACCATTAGGCTAGTACTAATGGATTAAAGAAAACTATAAGAGTGACCAAAAGTAGGCATGGTTAAGTCCTAATAGATATTGTATTGCTAAAGGCAAGAAAGGTCGATAAGTCATGTTTAAAGGTCCATGAGCATTTGCTGCAGATCCTTGGTTAGGTGTGATCATAATATTCATTGCAGCAACTGGTGAGGTAACTCATAAGGTTATGGACGTGATAGATAAGGTCTATTACATAACATGGACATACCAAAAGGATGGGAAAGAATATCGACCATAATGGACAAGACCATTAGCACATACAAGTGATATATGACCAAATGGACTAGGAGTGTCCATGAGGACCTAAGGATGGTTCATGTATGTTTTGGTCTATGACTCTATATAGGATGTCCACGAAATGGCTAGGCCATATGATCAGTGGATCCGTGGGACATAAGAGGACATTAGATGGGCCTGCAAACAATGGTTGTATGCAGATCATAAGTCCATCCAAGTACTGGTCAAGTACCATCCGACCAGAACACCAGTCCAACAAGGAAATCAGTCCAACCAGGACATAGAATGGTCAGTGGCATGAGATGCACGACATGACCATGTCTTAATGGAGTTCCAGAAGACATTAAGAGACATA